ATAGAAAGAAGGAGCCCTATTAAAGGTCAAGTTCAATTGTCATTTTCTCATGAAGTAAATGAAGCAGAATAAAGTCAACTTGATTTTATCAAAATACTCAACCTGGAAAAATCACTGCTAGTTTGTGTGTCTTACACTGTGCTGAATATATTATAAAGGTCAGAGGAATTACTGGTTAGTTGGGAAGCATAAAGATACTTCTTAAATTTGATGAGAAGATATAACTTTGATCAAGTCATGATTTGTATTCATTTTTCTTCCAAGTACAACAAATTAACATGAATTTCATAGTTGGAAATAACAAACACTAATTATCTCATAGTTCTATAGATTAGAAGTTTTAGGTGTTTCAAGTGTAGCAAGCAAGGACCACATCAAAATATTGGCAGAGCTGTCTTCTCTTTGGAAGTTCTGGGGGAAATTCTATCTGAAGATTTATTCAGGTTGTTGGCAGAATTCAGTTCTTGTGATTGTAGTACTGAGGTCCCCATTTCCTTGCTGGCTGTCAGGTTAGAGGCCCTGTAAGACTCTATGGGTCTTTGTAAGTGCACTCCTATATCACAGAACCATGAACAATGGATCCATGCTTTCTCACGTTACCAAAGTTATTAAAATTTTCAAAGATTTTCTGCTTATTCTCATTCTGCTGTATCTGCTGCATGTTTTTTTTAATGACTCAGAAAATTATAATATGATTGGGAGAATTAAGAATACCTATAAACATCAGGTTTCTACAATTTGATTAAATTCACTTGATAAGTAATCCACTCAAAAAATACTTTTCTCCATGCCCTCTTTCTGCAGTCACTCTGCTAGGATTTGGAGCCACAGAGATGACTATGATGTCTGCCCTATTCTTACTATGTACACAATCTAATGACAAAACAGGCACACAAATAAATAATTATGTAATTATGTTTTCAAATATATATTTAAATAACTTGCTCTGGGAGTTCTAGGATAGTAGTCATGCCTGGGAGCATTGCAGAATATTTTGCTGGATTCTTACTAGATATTCCTTTTAAAAATGGTCTGGCCAGTCCCTACTGACAAATAATTATAAGTACATTCAGGTTTCAGCATGACCCCGTAAGGATGATGCATTCATGTTATGGGTTTCAAATCTGACGGGCCAAGAATTTCCTTGGAAACATAGTAAAAATGTGGACTCCTAAGTTTTTCTCCTAAATATTCTAATTCAGAGAGGTTTTGGTCTGGCCATTCTAACATTTTTCAGCAAGTTTTGGTGGTGATTATGATTCAAGTGACCCATGAATTCACATTTTGAGGAACAATCATTTAGCCTAAAATAATATGTCTCAAATAACATAAAACAAAAGAAATATAGTTTTAGTTTTTTGGTTTTGTTTTGTTTCTATCAGTAACAGATCTTTAAAAAAGAGAAGCTTCTTTTTATTTTGCTTTTGTTGAAAGTGTGAGTGGCGCTGCAGGCGGTGTTTGACTGAAGCATTAAAACCTTAGACTGGCATTTACTTTTCAGACTTTATTTAAAGTAAAGTCAGTTAGTAACTTGCAATAATAATTCTATTACAAAGAATGAGGTTTTGCCAAAAATAAACATTGAGAAGAAAATGAAAGGTAACCAGGTTTCTGCACCCTGACTTTTTTTTTTCTTCAGAGATACAATCTATGATAGATTGTGTAGAAAGAAGAAATTTCCATTTGCAATGCAGGTGTGGATTACTGAGATCAGAAAAGACTGTTTATCCTTTATTTTGATTCAGGAGAATTGCAGCTTGTATAATAAGCCATAAGTAAGGGAAGGCATGCTCATCTTTGCTTACACAAAAATTCAGGCTACTATGGTAAACTAGATATGTGTGGGAAATGCTTCTGTTGGCTAAGTTTATGGTAAATGGATAAATATGTGAAAAAAAGAATATGGCTTCGGGCCTATAAAAATCTAAGATGTTTCAGAAATGGAAGAATGGAAGATGAACCTTTTCTTTCTCTTAATCTTAGAGTGAACATACTTTTAAATATGAGGATTAGGTAGCAACTAAAGATAAGAATTATTATCAAGAAAAATAATTAAAAGTATATTTTGGTATGCATGTACAAAATTTATGTTTTTGTCTTCTGATAAATTAGTATCACACCAACTAATTGTTTTTGTGTAGAATAAAACATTTGTGTAGAATAAAACATAAAACATACACTATAGTAAGCTAAGAATGATTACCCTCTTAAAACTTCTGAATTTAAAAAGTAAATCCATGAAAAAAAAAATAGCCTAGTAGAATGAATCATGGTAGTTTGAAGAAATGGTAAGTTTAAAAAAGTTCCTAGGCAGCTCTATATCAACTCATTCTCTCTTTTCCCCCTCCTTCCCTCTGCTAGGGATGGGCCTTGTGCATGTTAATGAGCATGCTACTACTGAGCTACTTCCCCAGTCCTAGGCAGTTTAGTTCAAAAGTTATTTCATTTTTGAGATATTTTTCATTTCTCAAAGTTGTTTTTGTGATGAAATAAATATTTTTTTAAATGTTAATGTTGAAGATTTGGGGGAAAATTTTGTTTACAAATAATAATATATATGTATTATTCTGTTTATACAATAAACAAACCGATCTCATGTTTTGCAGTAGAACCAACTGTTTCACTTATTAAATTTGGGAAGGGAAAATTAAAAAATAAAACTTACAGGATCCATGAGACTAGTGCTAGCATGATAAAAAGTAATTACTCCTAGTACCACTATGATTACAATTTCATGTAGGAGTATAAATCAGAATTTCCTCAGTTCTGAAAAGTTCTTTTCATACTAAATAAATGTTAGTCCCCTTGGAAAAGTCTACCAGCAGACTAAATCACTTAATGACTTCTTTTCATTATTCACTTGGCTTCTTCCAAAAATTAAATGAAAACTACTGGATATCATGTGGTAACATGCAGTTAAATTGCAGTAAATAATTTAACATCTGAAAGTGAAAAGTGATTGAGAACCATTTGTTTATCAGCTTTAGTTAGTTAATATCAAATGTATTCTAGCAAAGATAAATTTGCAATAAGCTAAAGTAGAAGACAGAACCATTTACAGAATGAACCATTTAGCGGAATTATGAAAAGAACCAATGACTTAAACCTAGGAAAACAGTTAAACATACTTCTGAGAATAATCTTGGCATTATTTCTACTAACTAACATGAGATTCAGTCTGAGTTGAATTTTAGCTAATTTGCAGTGGAATCATCCACATGCCCAGTCATGATCCATACAAAATTGGCCTAGAGAGCCCTTGGTGAAAGGGGAGAGTCCTTCTTAATGACCACTCACTCACTAAGGGTGTCTGCTAGAAGGGAAACTTTGATAGATCCTTTTTAGAATAGATGAGTAGAGAGAATAGGTTAGCATCACCTAGGGAACTGGACGTTGATGAATCTTCTGGAGAATACAGGTGTTCACTCTCTGTGTGAATGAATATCACCCAAATTTGCTGTTCTACCATTGATAAACCCCAGACTATAGATATGCCCTGTTGATAAGAAATGCAGCACACAGTACAAAATACAACCTTGCTCCTAGCAGCACATATTCCAGATTATTAGGGAACAGGGTGAAGAAAGAAAGCTATATATATGTTAAACCATTTGTATAATATATACATTGTGAGTTGATAACTTCCTTTTCAAGTATTAGAGCCAGGATGACAAGTAACCAAGACATATTTCACTAAGATATTTTGGAACACTGATTTTAAAATCTAATAGGTAGGCGACAAAAATTCTCTCAAATATGGATAAAATTTTCTGAAATATGTTGGGTTTGGGAGACTTCCAAATTAATTTTTAAATATTTTCTCCTTTAATTTTTTTGAGCCCATGTACAAATTAAAGGTAATTTAGTTCTGATTTGTAAAACATGATTTCCAAATAGTAATATTTGTTTGTCTTATTCAATATTTAAATAATATTTATATTTAATATAATATTTAAATACACATACTTTTATATGGAATAACTTATAGTTTTAATATGAATAATTATAAAGAATGTCACACTTTTTAAAATAATCAGTTTAAAATAAAATATATCTGTGAATATATATATAAGAGAAATAAATTTTGAATACAGAACATATAAAGTATATTTTTATGTTAATCTAGCAAATAATGATGGATAACTTCTCAGATTATTTGGTTATATTGCAAGAGAAATAGAACATAGCTGAAAATAGACCATAAGTCAGAAACTGCCAAGATGTCATGACAGAATTCAAGTTTTAATGATCATAAAATTGAGGTGTTCAATATGATTCCTTAGTTCCAGCTGAAAACCCACATTTAAGAGTGGAATTTAATCAAGGATTTTAAATAGCTTTAATTTATAATTCTTTTACAAAAAGTCCTAATATGTTATCACTGACATGCTGAGAATGTTGGGAGTAATACTATTTCTAACTACCTTCAACTCTCTTTAATAAAAAGTATGCAAAAACCAAAACCAAAAAAAAATCCTCCTTTCTTTAGCATTTTTGTTAATATGGAGTGATAATTAAAACTCTACTAAGAAAATTATATATATAACAAAACTTATTTTTAAAGACAATATTATGTAGGATCATTGAAAAATGGATATAAATACAATTAATATAGATACATTTTCCTAAGTTATAAATTCCTGAGGAAAATATTTTAGTTATTCTATGAAAAACGAAAAAATGTAAATGTTAAAATTTGATAATTTTTGTGTGAAAAGAGCATAACCAGGCTTAAAATCATTTACCTATAGAAATATGTACATTTATAGATCCATGGATTTTTATTATATATCTATAATTCATACTGAAATATTAATTACTTGAAGTGAACATGTTATTTTATAGTAATGCAAATATATTATAAAACATTTTTAGAAATTGGAACAGGTTAATACAATATCATTTTAGTAGTATTCACTTTGAAGTATTTGATTTATCAAGGAATAAATTTGGCTCATTAACATACTAGTAAATTATTATAAAATTAATCAATATTTTAGGTCATGACCCTTGGATTTAAGAAAGTCTTCAAGAAAATGTTGAATACAATTCAAGAGAAAATGTGATTTGAATCTGGAGACAACTGTGTATGTAAGTATTGGGAAATTAGATTTTTCTCATGGTAAAATGTAATAAAAACTAAAACAACAACTCATCAATTATTGCATTGCATAAACTTTGGTTTATAGTTTTTCATATATTATTTCACTCTTTTTAAATATTTGAGATTAATAAAATGTTGCCTGATTTTTTGGTTATTTTTTTAAGATAACATAATAATAAAAACTAAGGATAGCTGATAGAAGAGTACAAAATTTGGAAATTGCTACAATTAACAAGAAAAGCTGCTTCAGGTGAGTCTTGGTGGGTGACTAATGGCATAGGTTATATGTTGTAATTAACATTGTACACACACAGCATGTGATACAAATAATAAAACATGACCACATGGAAAAGGTTTTTAAATTTCTTATTTTGATTTTAGCTTTGTAATAAAATTTATGACAAGTTTCTTAACAGAATTAAATCTAAGCTGATAGTTGAATGTCAAATTTCTACTAAGGAAATTTTGTCAATTTTGAAAATAGTTTTACATATTTGGATAAACGAATAGTGTAGTCCATGGCTATATCATGACAATTCATGTTTCATTAAAAAAAAAAAAACTAGTATGTTGCTCCTAGATCTTGTGAAGAGTAAACATTGGGAACCATCCCCCAGCAATGTCTGTCTCCTGAGAAGTAAGCTAGTGGGTGGGATTTGAAAGGTCATTTTTCATTAGCTCATAATTGTCCCTACCATTACAAATATTTTCATTTGATATTGTCCATATACTGTAATCTTATTTCAATAATGTAGATGACTTAGGAAAACTTCTATTTTCTGATTTAAAAAGAATTAGTTTTCTATAATGAAGAATAATTGCTACTAACTATAAGGATATTTTAATGACATATGGATGTTGATTTTCAAAAACAAATTTCATCCTTAGATGAATAAAGCCAGTAAATTATAAATTAGACCAATGTTTATAGAAAATAAAGGTAAACTTTAAAATAAAATGTGCTATCAAAATTTATGTTATGGTTTTCACTTGAAATTCTGTATTTTGATACTTCACTAATTTTATTCCAATTTGGTCAAAATAAAGAAAGCAAGATCTTTTAATCACTCAAAAATATATATGTAAGAAGTTTTCCTGATTGTAAGTTTTTTAAATTAAGAAAAAATGTATTTAATTAAGCTTCTTAGTACTTTAAATCATGATATTCTTAAACATTTGTAATACACAAAACTATTAATCAAATCAAAGTAAAATTACTGCACAGCTATAAAGTAAATCTTCTTTTGAGAACCCTCTATGTTTATTTAATAAATATTGATGAATTTTGTTTCTTTAATTGTCTATTTGTAGTTTGATTTATATTACATAGCATATTGCTTCTGGACTCTGATAATGGAGAAAAAGTGTGTCCTGTATTTTCTGTTTTTCTTGCCTTGTTTTATGGTAAGTACAAGTTCCTCTGATTGATCTATTTTACTTCTAACATATTTATAATTAACAAAGTTCAATAGTGAAATTAAAGTTATTATTTGATGCATAAATTATTTTCATTTTCCACCCAATCAGTAGAGCAATTATTTCTTCCCTTTCCATGTGTTCTACTAGTCTTAATGACAGATAAAGAATGATTCAGCCCTGGGGCAAAGAGGAAGAGTTTGGAAGACCAATGTTACAAATGTGTAAAATACCAGGGGGGAAAAAATGGAATGGTTGTATACAGTAAGGTTGTGCATAGCAGATGAATTACTTTTAGTCAGATTTGTGGATTCTGAGTTAGAACTTTTAAAAAGCATATTCCAGTTCATTGATTTCTCTTCATTCTACCAATTGATTGAAATAATGATTGAAATAATTCAGAACCATGCATTGTATTTTATTTTCCTCTTCCATTCACTCAAATTAGCAATCTTCAGTGCTATTTGAGGCAGGTTGTGTTTGTGTGCATGTGTGTGTGTGCATACTCTTGTGTACCTTTCAATACATGTGCTGAGGATGTGGGGTCAGAGGTGGCGGTATACAAAAGATGACAAAAAATCAATTGCTCTCCTAAAAGACCCGTAGACTTCATATTTTTTTTTCATTTATAGAAATGTTTTATTTATATTTTTATCTACCTCAAATTAAAACAATGACTCAGCTCTTTTCTCTTTGTATGTATGAAAAATCAAGATACATAATCTCATCTAATTATGTGCCAACAAAGAATTTTCTGTAGTGTTTCCAAACAAACCTTACAAAGACTTAAAGTAACTCAAGAAAAATATGGAAAATCTCAATGAGGAAAAAAGCATTTACATTTCAAAACACTCTCAAGTCTAGGAGCTTTCTAAATTCTGCACTTCTCAGATGTTATCTTACTAGAATTCAAGAGAAAGGACACCTGTTTCCTCAGCTCACACCTTCCATTGAGCTTGCCAGTGAGCTACCCAGGCCAACACTGGTGATCTGCAGGCAATTCTGTAACAGAGTACTAATCTGATTATTGTAATTTAGGGCATTGTGAACTTTTCTTTATAATTTGACCACCGACAGTGTATAAGCCTGATTTTTATTTCAAGAAGGAATAAAAATGATATCGATCTATGCAATTTCTACAGACTTCTTGAGAAGAATGAGTTCTGTGGCTTTTAAAAATATTGTCTCCAGCTGGGAATATAGCTCAGTGGTAGAGCTGTAGTCTTCCAATATATTAGACCAGTCTAGTATAATTAGTATAATGTCTATTATTTGTGAGACTCTGGATTTGATCCACAGCATTGCAAAAATAAAATTATGTGGAACTTCTAAGTGTATTGGCTTGCTGTTCTGAATTTCCGTTTGTTGCTTCTATAGCAAAACTGTGCGTATTATAGCAGTTTTATTAACAACAATTAAAGTAAGACAACTCAACGAATTTTAAAAAGAGTGAAAGAGTGAATGAGAAACAGTGGCCAGGTGATGGTGAAACTTGAATGATGCCACCCAGTGAGAGAATATTATAATTTCCACTTTGCTAGATTTTACTATTTTTAGTGTCTCTTTAAATAAAGTTCTACTGAATTGGAAAAATATCTATATGTCTATATAAAATATATATATGTGTGTATATATATATATTATATATAGTTCAAGTCTTTTACTGATATATATTCAGTTAAAAACTCTATTTACCAATATTATAAATTAACTTTCCAATAGTTTGATTGTGAAAAATATAACAACTAGCAACAAATATTGAATATTTTCCATGTGCTAGGTACGTCCTTCTATTAAATTGATGCTCTTTATCCTCTCTTACAATAAGAAGCTGAGGTTTGGGAGATAGGGGGAATATATCTTGCCGGCATTCACAGAACAGGTAAAATTGGAGGGATTTTGAATATAGCTCTGTGTATATTTCAGAACACATGTTTAGGCTGTCCTGCAGTCAGCTACCACAGGCTCTGCAAAGCCAACTCTGCCTCCCAGCTCTGCCATTGGTGCCATCTTGATTGTTTGAAACTGGACATGGTAGAAATATAAATTCCAAAGAAAGTGACTAACACTAAAAATTGGGGCTTTCCTCCCAGAGAGGCTGTTTATCATTCAGAACATCACTGTACTTGCTCTTTTATATACTACAAAAATATTTTCACAATTTTGACATTGTTGTTGTTTTAATTCCTTAGATTCTTGTCACAGCAGAAGTTGAAGAAGAACTCTCTGATGACTTAATTCAGTTGGGGGTTACTAGAAATAAAATCATGACAGCTCAGTATGAATGTTACCAAAAAATTATGCAGGACCCCATTCAACAAGCAGAAGGTAACCATGACTATTTAATTCTAAATGCATTTGATGAATTTAAAAGAAAATTTCCCTGTTATGTCATTCTAGGCTCTTTGCATCTATCATTGAATTGAGTTTGTTGCTTGTTTTCTGGTATATATGCACTTTTAACTATTTATTTATGAAAATATTTTTGCAATACATTCTTTTTAAATATGTTTTTTAGTTTCAGATGGACACAATACCTTTATTTTATTTATTTATGTAGCACTGAGGATTGAACACATTGCCTTATGCATGCGAGGCAAGTGCTCTTCCACTGAACTACAACCCCAGCCCTGCAATACATTTTTTTAGAAAAATCTAATAAAAATATGTGAATGATCTTTTTAGAACCACTTTTTATGGTTTAAATATATTTAAAATATCAAATATGTATTAATATTAATGCAATGACACAAGTCTCAAGTCAATGACAATTCACCTTTAGTTCATGTAATTTGTGTCTTTTTTTTTTGCAACCTGATAGTAACTTGCATAATAAAATGATGAATACAGAAGTTTTTTGGTTTTTCTTTAATAATACTCATGCTTTGCATAGTACATTTGCTAGCAAATTTAATGAAGTCTAAGTGCTCTTGTTTCCTTTAGGATAGTCTTTTGTTGTTTTGGTAACTCACAGAGGGACTAATAAGCAACAGGCATTTGTCTAGATCTGAAGCTATAAAGATAAGTAACAGAAATATAGTTGCCATAATTAGACAACAAAAACAGGCCCTTTATTTTTTCTGACAGCCATAAGGGTTATTTCCAAAATATAAAATGTGAAACTCACAGTGGAACAAATCAAAATATAGTCTATTTAGATGACCAATTTTTTAAAAACCATCAGGGGAAACAAAGATTCCAACATTTTGATGTTCTAATAGATTGTATTTACATATGAATGAAATGTTAAAAGTAAAATATGAATATTTATAATTGTCAAATTAATTTGCTTAAGAAAAAAAGGCATTTTTTCATGTTGAGCAACTTTTAGATTCAATTTAACTGAACAACATAATTTATTAATCTTTGCAGAAGTATTGGGATATTATAGCTGCACCAATATTCTTTTTATACTTGTCACTAAAGAGTATGTTTTAAAATATGCCAATGACAAATTATATGATTATGTCAGATAATGAATCCAAGTTCACTGCCTAATACATCTTCTTAGGGCTTCACAGTGCATTCTGTAATCCATGAAAAATAGAAAGTCTTGGAATAAAGAAGTGTCTTTCTTCTATCTTTGTATTTTCAAAATCTATTTGGCCACAGAAACTTTCTCATTGGAAAACTTACTCATATCTTACTCAGATGCCATCAAACACAACAAAATTCTAGACCTTTCATGCTTCCTGTATTGAAGCTATACAGATATTGAAAGTATTGAAGTTAATTAGATAGATTCCTGCAGCAGTGTCATTGGCACATTTGAGATGATTTCTAAAATTATATAGAAAAAAAATTTATATTCTATAAAATATATTCACGTGGTATTATATGCTTGCAAACTATTTAAAAATAACAGAAGAGAGAACTGTGGTCTGTGGTTATCCAAATGGCTTTTCTTACGAATTGCTATCATTTAGACATTCAGGCCATCAGAATTTTTATACTCTCATGGGGGCTAGATTAATTCCAAGATCTCTTTGCAAACATCTTATGTTTCTGTGCAAACATGTTAATGTTAAAATTAATGCAGCATTCCGGGGACCACCTCTATCTGACAATTCAAAAAAAATCTCTTTTTTGGATTACATAATGTTATAACATTGGAAAATTGACCAGTTGATTTTTCTGTGTCTTTAAAAATATCTATTTATTTTTAATGTAAGAGATTCTTCCTCTTCACAACGGAGAGAAATGTGACATCAATAAGCATTCTGCTCCATTTGAAAAGACAAGGAAGGAAAAGCTAGATTTGGAAGAAGGGCCTAAATAAGTACTTTTCAGAGTTAAAATGGTGAAGCAGAAATATTGAATAGATTCATTTGTTTGCTTCAAGAAATACTTTCCCCAAGAATACAATTCTAAAATAGTATGTTTTTTTGATTTCATACTCACAAACACACTTATTTCTAAAGCTCCTTTAAAAGTTAGTTTTTCCTATAATTACTTGTTGAAAAAGTCAAATAATTGCTATGAAATTCATGTATGTTCATTTTCTGTACATAAGCTTTTTTCCACATCAGTGAGAAACCATGCTGGAGACTTCATGTCTTCGTGTTCCTAGTTATACCCGAAGACATGAGCTAGTTATCTCCCATTATATTTCCCCTTTCAGGCATTTACTGCAACAGAACCTGGGATGGTTGGCTATGCTGGAATGATGTTGCAGCAGGAACTGAGTCAATGCAACACTGCCCCGATTACTTTCAGGACTTTGATCCTTCAGGTAAAAGCAGAAACTTATATACAAATCTCCTTGATACCTATCTAATAATAGGTTAATTAAATTGTTGCTTTCTTTTTTTTACTATTCAACTTTAAAGAAAAAGTCACAAAGATTTGTGACCAAGATGGAAACTGGTTCAGACATCCAGCAAGCAACCGAACCTGGACAAATTATACCCAGTGTAATGTTAATACACACGAAAAAGTCAAGGTATGTGATGGTCATGAACTGAAATTCACACTGGCAGTCTAAACAATTGTCTAATAGAACATTGGAGAAACTTTAGTCAGTGTTCCACTGCATTATAAAGCCATTTCATAATAAATTTTGAGAAGAACAGTGAAAAAAATATCTGTGGAATGAATTATTATTGATTCTGTCATTACCCTGAGGAAAGGGTACTGTTAGGTAATAGTGTATTTACAAGTCAATGTCTCAGTATTGGGGTTTCAAGTTTTCCAAAGAAAACATACCTTAAAAGTGTAAAAAAATGTGGGGGTTGGGTTCTCATTTGGGGAGAAATTCTAGAATTACCTCAAAAATTGTAAGTAAACAGGAGAAGCCCAGCATGGTTCAAGCAGTCCTGTGTCCCTCAGTGAGACCTTCCTTCTGACTGACTAGTAGTCCACCCTCACTTAGGCTCTCACTTTGAACACTATGCATTAAAATCAAAGTTAATTCCAGTTTGTCATAATAAAAAACTTTATAGAAAGTGCCTAAATATATTTATACTGGCATGTTGTATAAAAACAACTTGTCACTCTGAATAAACAGCAAATCCTGATATCTCTTTTCTTTTTCTGCCCTTTGCCTGCTGAATGACCTTGGGAAAGCCATTTACTGGCTCTTTGACTCAGTCCCCAAAAGTACAAAGTTAGATAACAATAGATTTCCCCTTATTGCTTTCACAAGACTTTACTTAGTGCAAGGAAAACATTTAGAAGAGTAGAATATAATAAGCACTCGACAGCTGCCACCTATCATTATATTTAGGTCATGTACTCCCTGCTTATTCCAAAAGTGTTTGAAGAGAATCATAAGAATAAAATATAAGATGGTAGGTTAAAGTAAATGGAAAACAGAAAAGGAAGAAAAAATAAAAAATAAACACCATGAAATTTTTTTTTCAAAAGTGTTTGTATCGATCAAAATATCTCATAAGCTGCCATATTAAAAATTGCCTCTCAACCTCAAATTTATCAATGAAAAAAAAAGAGACCCAGTGGGGAAAGAAAGCTTTTCTGGCATTTAAGTCTGAATAAATCAAATCACCTAGTAGCATTTGATTTTAAATATAAAATGCTAGTTTCATGTTCTATGTGACCTAAATCAATAGAAGTATTACTTTATAGATTTAAATATGGTTTCTAGCTTTGTAAATAAAGATGCATATCATTTATAAATTTTGATAAGTTCCTTGATACATTTATATAGATATTCATTATTCTAGATGCATGTAAGTACCTATTGGCTTGCAAGCAATCATTGTCAGACTATTAGATCACCTGCTTTCAAGAACAAAATCTATTCAATTGAATTTGAGCTTCTACACATGTAGGAATATATATGCTTATATATATTGATATCTGTCTAATTTTTTATTCACATAAATCATAGACTGCACTGAACTTGTTTTACCTGACCATAATTGGACATGGATTATCTATTGCATCACTTCTTATCTCACTTGGCATATTCTTTTATTTCAAGTAAGTACATTAAAAATTATTTTATAATTTATCAATTGTATTAGGTGAATGCAAGTCTTGCATGTTTATGTCATATGGTGACAATATGTAAAATATAGATGTCATGTTTAAAAAACTGAATGTTTAAGATCAATTAAAATAATTGGATTTATTTTGACTTTGTAAAATATAAAGAGAGGAGATTGATGAAATATCTTAACCCTAATTTTACAAAGGAAGATTAGTTACATAAGAATCAAGTGAAGTAATGTGAAGGGAGTCATAAACAACTGGATTTTGCCCTAAGAATTTTCAAATGTTATAGGTTTAGTTGCTCAGCTTCTCAGATAGTTTTATTATCATATACATGTGTAGAATAGCAACCAGAATTTTGTGTGAATACTGGTACTACTGTTTATATATATTATTGAAAATATAATTTAGCTAGTATATTATTATTATTATTATTTTGTGGTACCAGGGATTGAACCCAAGGCCTCACACATGCTGGGTAAATACTCTGTCACTGAGCTACTACCCCATCCCTTGAAAATATAATTTAAACATAGTATGCTTTACTTATTTTTTTTTTTTTTTAGTTTGGGGGAATCATCATTAAAATAGTTAGATTATACTTTCAAATTTACTGGTACTTCTTTTGAGAGGGAAAGGTGCAGTGGCACCAATTTCTTAAATCAACAATTGGTTTTAAAGTTTATAGTAAGGCAATATCTATACCTTTATGTGCATGTATTACATTATACCTTTACTACATTCTTCATAATTTTGATCACCACTAGTGATTACAGAATGAGTGTGATGAATAGTCAGGAGCTGTATTTCACTGTGTCTTCATTGCCATTGTCATCATTATGGCCTTCTTCCTTGTCTTCTTTCTCTCTTTTCTCCCTTTATCATCACAAACATCAATGATGATCTTGGAGCATTAGCATCTACAAGTGTATCTGGAGTAGTAGTACATTGAAATAAGACAAATTTAGACATTATCAGATAGTAGGATTTTTTTACATATATGTAACTGCAGTCTTTAAACCATTTGTATATCAGCTATTTGAACTATATTGAATAAAAAACCCAACAATTTATGAATATGCCTCTTGGGCTCAATGTTAGAGTATGTAGAGATTGCATCAGAATCACCAGTTTTATAAATTTATAACTTCCTAAGTATCTTTGACATCAGCCATATAAGAATACTTTCAATAGCAGTATCTAGGCACCATTTAAAACTGAAAAAGAATCCTACTGTCAATAAAACCAATTAAACATTTATATTCTTTTTAAAATATAACATTTAATTGAGCAATTCTATCAAATTATATCAAAGTCCAAAAGTGTTTTTATCCTAAAATTTGGAAAACATTTCTTAGAGATTTAACATTTTCATACTGTATTTTACAAATTACTGAAAGATTTTTGATCAAAACAGACTGCCAATTCTCAGTCACTGACTTCATAATTAGTATGTCACATTAGTTGCATATGAAGAGCTTATTAAAATTTTATGCCTATACACTTGAATGCAGGGTTAGCTTATAAAATGTTTTTTTAAATTAATGCTTTGTTTGGAGTAGAAAATCTTTTTATAATTGTCTAAAATTTTTTAAATATCTCTTCTAAAGAATGGAAACAAAGTTTCTCAAAGCAACAACTTTGAAACAAAATTTTCAGATCTACAGTAATAAGTTAATAAAAAACACTGCAATGGACATTTTCAGCCATAACTTTTCCCATATTTTGCAATATTATTTTAGGCTACATTCCAGAGTTTTGGAATTTCTTGGTCAAAGGGTATATATCTTTTTATGGCTCTTGAAATACATCATCTTAAAAGTATCTCAAAATCAACATGTTCAAAAGAAATTTGTAATATTGACCTCCTCCAAATCCAAGTTGGCTTTCTTCCAGAGTGACCTATCTTCAGCCATGACACTTCCAGAAATGCAGTTGCATTTATAGGAGATTTAGGAATAATTTGTATTGCCTTTCCCTCCTTTTTTCTCCCTAAAATCCTCTTCTTAGACCTTTTGAAATACTCCCAATCTAACCCAGCATACTGAAATTCATCTCTACTGCAATCACCACCAGTCTTGTCCTAGGTAGCCTTAGTAAATCTACTTCCTTCATTTCATTCCCAAGCAATGGATCCAGAAAATTTTCAACCATTTAGATTGAAATAGATCTCATGTTGTCATTTTTGCTTTAAAAGTTTTGAGAGTCTATTACAATTCTTATAAAATCAAAATCACTAGCATACCTTGATTTATCTTTGTGCCTGCTCCCTAGTGTTGTAAAATGATGCTAAACTTTAAATGAGGCTAAATGATGCCAACCTTTAGCATCGTTTCCTCAGTGAAATTTTCTTAAGTTCCTTTATTATTTCCAAAATTGCAATGAATTACAGCGGACATGGGGTGAAATTCTAATACCATTTGGGAGATCACCATCTCTTCAAATTAAAAGTGATATAACTAAATGATCTCTTTTTATGTTGTATGTAATAAGCCAAAATACCCAAGTAAATTAAATTTCTAAAAAATAAATTTACAAAGGATAGCAATTATATCACATGCCAAAACCAGTAGTCAGGGAACAATGATCTCCTAGAACTCCCTGTGGTATCTCCCCAGACCAGTTTGAATTTAGTAAAGATAGGAGTAAAGTCCTGACCAATTCCATAGAGTGCAATGCAAAATTAACAAAGCTTCTTAATGTATAAGATTCTAGACTTTAATGTGATAAATGCTCACTTTGAATTAGTGAGACAATGGTGAACTACCAATGACAGCAATGCTACCAGCCAGACTGCATTAGTACACATATGATGCTTAATTCCGAATCTCTAATCAGAACACTCAATCACCCCATTCTCAGTGCAATAGGAAAATACTGTTCATAAAAATTGGTTTATCAGGATGGTGAAGAAATTGAAGAAAATAATATAAGCTGATCACAGCATACAGAGTGCACAACATATGACTTCAAGAATCCAAATGACTTTAACTGGGAATGAAGTTTGCATAATAACAAAGAGAGATGAAAATATTTGAAAACAAAAGAAAAGTAAAACCAAACAGCTAAACAAAATATAATGACAGAAATTATATGCCAGCCTATGAGACATGTTGAAGTGGGTTATTTCTATACTGGTTCATGGCTAGACTTGATGATCTATAGTGATCCTTTGAAACTCAAGAGTTTATGAATGAAGCACCTATTTAGAATTTAGGATGAGTTATTTCTTAAAATATATAATCTCAGTAACAGGAATCTTGTATTTGTGAAGGTATTTTTTAAGCTAAAAGCAATTTACATAGGTAAACTTTTACATAGGCAAACACCATCATTGATTAGAAGTTAAATGAAAATCTGGAGATATCTATATATAGAGAGAGAAGTGGGTGGTGAGGGAGGGAGGTGGAGTCTTGCTAAATTGCTCAGTTGGCCTCAAAGTAGCAATTCTTCTGCCTCAGTCTCCTGAGTAGCTAAATTATAGGCCTGTGTCACCATGCCTGACTGGTTCAATATTTTTATATCCATATTTATAGACAGTTTATTCAAAAACAAATGCTATTCAAATAATATTAACAAGGCATTTTAAATTTCAATTGAAGGCTAAAAGCTTGAAATCTCAGAATTACTTTATCTATAGAAATTTTTTTTTTAAAGTTGAAATTGTTTATATACCTGCTAAGTACATTAAAGATACAATCTGTAGACACTTGCTTATTCCTAAAGGGAGTCCAGAAATTTAATGTCATTCCAAATGCTGTCCATATATTCCATATATGTTGCTATTTAGAAAAAGAACAAGTTTTTTTTTCAAAATAAAATAAAGATCCCTGTATGAAATAATATATGTATTGTTATTTGCTAAGTTTTCCAAACTTAAAAATCATGTATATAGCAAGCTAAATAAGCAAAATCTTATTAAAACATATGACAGTCTTGCCAATAAAGCAAATTTGTGCCTTGGTTTTCATATAAAATAAAACATAGTTTCCATCATCTCATTTATCTTAAAAGTTTATACTGAAATTACAAATAACTGCTCGTTTTCTATAGTGGAATAAAAATGGAATCTTTCAGTGGTGATCTAGTACAAGTACATACTTGAATTTGGCATAAAGATTTTAATGGATATTTTAAGACATGATTAGAACCATATATGAATCTTGTTATCATCACTTACTTATAGTCGTCTTAACCTGATTTTCCTTTTAAGTAAGCTTAATTTTTTTTTAAATAATGGGTCGTGCTATTTCTAAAATTATTGAACAAAGTAGACTTACACAATCCACCATTTAGGAACTGTTCAATAAATGGTAGGCTTTCCTAATGTCCTCATTAGGCTGCATCAATCATCTAGGCAAATGGACTACATTTCAGTAGTCACCCAGCATTACCTCTATATGATAGTAATGCAAGCTAAAACAAATAAACAAAGCCCTAAGTGCTATTATGGAGCTACAAAGAGAAAAAGTGAGGGAAGAAAGAATGATTCTGACTCACAGAATAAAAGGATTCCTGAGATGATACTATCATAGAAACAAATGCTTTGATGAGGGGTAGAATTTCAACAAGTAGAAATTGTAAACCTTAAGCTATGAAAAGATTATCCAGTCTAATACCTAATTTAAATTATTTCCTAAGTAATTACCTATCTTTTCCAGTGTTCCTTCCAATCTTTCTATTTGGCTTTGTCATTTTATTTGAATAAACTGTCTTTTTAAAATGGATAATTTTAACAGAAAAAACCAAAGCTACAAATTATTTTCTTTTTTATTATATACTCTCAGGCCTTAGGTAAGACATCAGAAATGCTCTTCAGGTCAGACCTATGAATGGCATTTAAAATGCTTTTTATATGTCTAGACACCCCTGCCAGAAAGTGTGTTCTCTACATGCACAACTGCTCCCAGCTCCTGCCATACCATTTACTTGTTTCATATGAAGCACATTCTTTTGCTTCTCTAAACCTCAATTTAGCATGTTTACAA